CCGCGATCCGCTCCGCTCTACCCGGCTGAGCCGCTGCCTCCCGCGCCGTCCTTTTCCGTCTCTCTATCCAGGAAACCCAGCGACCTCACAGGTCTCTGCGGACCCCTTGCGGTCCACCTTTGACCCTAACACCCCGCCCCCCCCATTCAGCTGTCCCTAAACTCTGCGCGAACCCGCCGCAGCACCCCCCCCCCCATAGCTGGCTACTTTTTGATTTCAAAGTGAAACAAGGATAGAGTTCCCTACCTATCTGAGAACTTTTAGATCCTCGTCTACACTTTGCTAAAGAACCCCAGCCGAGTTAAGTCCACTCTAGAGAGCTTGGACCCTGACACTGAGTGCCATCTGGGTTGAGAACCAAACGGATGCCAGGCAGTTAGGTGTTGAATGTTGCAGGCAAGCAGTAATTAACAATGAGACAAAAGGTAATTTCCACTTCTAGACTTTTTCCTTACCGCGTTTTATTTCCCAAATCTATGGGAGGAGACTCGGGGCTTTACAGTTAATGAGACTTTAGCTGTCTGTGGGTTCTCCTCACCTTCCTCTGTTCTACCCTCACCAGTTCACTAATAAATACCCCACCTCCCTCGCCCCCGCATCCCTACAGCTCAAGGCCAACTCCAGCCCGAGGGAAAAGGGATCTCAGTCTTTTGACCGCGCTTCCGGGGTCTATAGATGAGCTCAGTTTGAAACAAGGCATTACAGAATTTCAGCGTTAGGAACCCTTTCTATCAACACAGACACTTTCAGATCCTCAGCCCGCTTCTTCCTTTCCTCTTTTTGTTGGTACTTCTCCACCCGGGGGCTATTTAACAAAGGAGTATGTTAACTAACATTTTTGTTTAACTCAGCAACCCTTTCCAAAACACACTTAAACTTGAAACCAATGACTGTCATTTTAAGGGTGTGTGTGTGTGTGTGTGTGTGTGTGTATGTGAAAGGGAGATGTGAACTTGACAGTAAATGGAAAGGTGCAGGGTTTGTTTGAGAAGGTGTCACAAACACCTTATATTTACAGTAAAATAATTCAAGTGATAGTAGTATGTGTTTGTGTGTGTGGTGGGTTCCAAATCTCATTACTATGCACAAAGTGTATTTGCTTGAGAACTAACAAGGGGGGGGGCGTCAAATATGACTTAACGTGAAGAATGCACATTCACTTTGATGGTGAGAGTGAACTGAAGGGAATGAAATTCAAAAGAGAGGGGTATTTTGAGTGTGTATGTATGTGTGTAGTATTTGTGGGCAGTTAAATCCTTCCCTGATTTCCTCCACTCCTCCAGCCTGACTCTTATTTGCTTTATAGTCTTCTTTCTTTTATCATAAAAATACCCCCTCCTGGTCTACAGTCTCTGTCCTCCTTATCCGTGTATGTTTTTCTATTACTGAAGTCCATTTTTGGATTTTTCTTCTGAATTAATTTGTTTTAGCCTCTTGTTTTTTCCTCTAGAGGTCCTGACCTCCTTTTTTTCTTTTTCTTTTCTTCTTTTCTTTTCTCCTGAAGGTGGGCTTCATTATGTAAGATTAGACACAGGTAAAGAAAGGAATGATGAAGAAAGGAGGGATCATTCAGGGTGTGAAGGAGGAAGAATCAAAGGAGAAGAGAAGAGAAAGGGGAAAGAGAAAAAGACAAGTCAGACACCCTCTGGCCTTTGACAGGTCAGAGCTCAGACAGTCCCATGACCTCTTTTCCCTCCAGGCAAACTGCCCAGTGTTTATAAACAAAATCAGGCAGTACTCTCCTCAAACAATAGCAGGTCACTAACTTCTCTAGCACTTCTGCAGCTCTTATGCAAATTAAGGAGGACCCCTTACCACTATCCTCCCCTCACACCACACAATCACAGCACCCCAACCTGAGATCACAAGCACACCCTCCTCAAACACACATGGATATTTCCTGCAAGAGTCTCCAATGAAAATTTTACATTCTGTCTAGGGAAGAGCTC